ATTCAAAAGATGGTTAATGCATAAGAACTAGAGGCTTAGAGGCACAAACTGGGCTTAGAAGCTGAAATTGATGCTGCAAGAAATGTCCAGCAAAATGCTGGAATCAATCAACCTAGGGCAGTAGATGATAACAGATGGTTGGAATGATTAGTCCCTCCCCAACGCCAACCAATAACCCCAAGGGGTAGAGCTTAGCATCCACCTCATATGATGTATAAAGAAGATGATGTTGACTTGGATGGGGATGGAGCCACTGGAGCTATAGTTTTATCTGCACTACCTCCAGGTGTTAAGTTCACCATCACCAGCACTATGATACAGCTTTTAAACCTGAAAGGTATGTTTTAGGGTGCTGCTGGTGATGATGCAAATTAGCACTTGATAAATTTTGTGGCAATCTGCAAGTCACAAGAAATTCCTGGAGTTTATCAAACTGCGATGAGATTGAGGTTGTTCCCATTGTCCCTTACTGGAGAGGCAACAAACTAACTGAATGAGATGCCAAATGACTCCATCAAAACTTGGACAGAGCTGAAGGAGGCTTTCTTGGAACGATTCTTTCCAGAATCAAAAGAGCTGCAGATGAAGGACGAGATTAGTAAACATAAGCAGCTACTAGGAGAGGCAATGCATGATACTTGGTGGAGGTCCAGCCAAAAGCTGAAGAAATTCCCCAACCATGATCTTACTGAAAGGCATTTGAAACATGCTTTTTATAGATCTCGAAATTATGTTACTAAACATGTTGTTGATACAGTTTGTGGAGGCTCATTTATGAGGAAGTCATTCTTGGAGAGCATGCAACTGTTGGATGAGGTATCAAAGAATAACAGGGCATGGTACATAAGAGATGTAGATGAAGGAGAGCTTGGGTATACATTTGAGCTTTCAACTAAATAGAGGAAGAAAGGGACCAAGACATGGCGCACATGAGGACACAAATAGATCTGTTCACCAAGCACATTGTCGCCAAGTCTGAAAAGGTAAACGTTGTGGGACAGCAAAACAGGTATGACGATCAGGCTATTGACCTTGATGAGGAAGCTAACTACTTGGGGAACCAAGTAGGTTTATAGAATTATAACTCTGGAAATCAGGGTTACAATTCTGGAAACACAGGTTGGAACTATGCTAGGGATGGTCAGTATGATAGGCCAGCAAATAGAGATCAGGGAAACTGGCAGAACAGAGATGGGTATAGGAATTATCGCAGTGGTGTTTATGTGCCCCCAGGTAATAGAGACCGGGCAAGTGGTAGTTCCAGCGGGTCTAAGCTGGAAGACATGATGGCTAAGGTACTCTAGAAAGTTGAATCAACTGATGCAAGGGTAAAAGAAGTGAGAGGTGATTTCTCGAGCATGAGTAAGTTGGTGGACTCTCACACCACCTCCATTAAACAAATTAAGCAGCAGTTGGGGCAACTCTCAGCCTTACTGAATCAGAGGAAAAATAGGTACTACCAAGTGACACTATTAAAAACCCTAAGAAGGACGGGCACTGCATGGCCATCGCACCAGAAGTGCTAAAGTTCTTACAGACCCTATTTCTGCAGGTACCAAACATGAACATGTCTTGGAGCAAGCTGGCAGAGAGGAGGATGAAGCTGAACATGTAGATGATTTGGAGGATCCTCAGCTTAAAGCACAACCTGCAAGAGGAAAAGAGAAAGAGGTCGAGGAAAACCTGCCTTTATAATAGATTCCCAGACCACCTCCTCCTTTCCCTCAAAGGCTCAAAAAGAAAGATGAAGATGGGAAGTTTACAAAGTTCATCACCATGTTGAAGCAACTTTCAGTAAACATACCACTGGTGGAAGCCCTGGAACAGATGTCAAGATATGCCAAGTTCATGAAGGACTTGGTTACAAAGAAGAGAGCTGTAAGTCTTGATTTTACTAACGATGTTCATAATTGCAACCCCATTGCTACCAGATCTCTGGTTCAGAAGAAGGAAGATCCAGGTGCATTCACTTTCCCATGCACCATTGGGTTAATTAAGTTTTCAAAAGCTTTGTGTGATCTAGAAGCCAGTATCAACTTGATGTCATTAGCCATCTACAAGAAATTGGGGTTGGGAGTTCCAAGACCCACAACAATGAGGTTGATGATGGCTGATAGGTCAGCTAAGCGGCCAGTGGGAGTCTTATGTGATGTACTTGTAAAGGTGGACACATTCATCTTTCCAGTTGATTTCGTGATCTTGGATTGTGAAGTGGACTTTGAGGTTCCCATCATTTTGGGAAGACCTTTTCTGGCCACAGGAAGAGCTTTGGTGGATGTTGAAAGAGGAGAGTTGAAGTTCAGACTTAACAAGGATGAGGTAAAGTTCAATATTTGCAGGTCAATGAAGCAACCCAATGATATGAATGTGGTATCTGCAATAGATATGGTTGTTGATGAGGACATGAGGGTACCCATAGAAGAGAGGATAACTGTTGAAACCTTAGTTGCAATGTTGATGAACTTTGATGCTGATTTCCAGTCTGACTATATAGAGACCGTGAATGCTTTGCAAGGTATAGGAGCACACTCGTATGCTCCAAAGAAATTGGACCTGGACTTGCAAAACAGGCCAAGCTCTCCAGCAAAACCATCCATCGAGGAGCCACCGGTGCTGGAACTAAAACAGTTACCCAGTCACCTCAGGTATGTATTTTTAGGTACTAATATCACTTTACCTGTGATCTTGGCTGCAGATTTAAATGAAGAGCAAGTGCATGAGGTGATCAAGGTGTTGAGAATGTACAAACGGGAAATTGGGTGGACCATTGCTGATATAATTGGAATACCTCATGGTATATGCACTAACAAGATTCAGCTTGAGGAGGACTGCAACCTAAACATTGAACACCAGCAGAGGCTAAACCCACAAATGCAAGAGGTAGTTAAGAAAGAGATAATGAAGTGGTTAGATGCTGGGGTGGTCTATCTCATTTCTGATAGTCACTAGGTCAGTCCAGTGCAATGTGTGCCCAAAAAGGGTGGTATGACTGTGGTGGCAAATGCCAAGAATGAATTAGTCCCACAGAGACCAGTCACAGGATGGCGAGTCTATAAGGACTACAGGAAGCTGAACAAGTGGACTTTGAGGGATAACTTCCCATTGCCTTTCATGGACCAGATGCTTGATAGGTTGGCAGGTAAAGGATGGTATTGTTTCTTAGATGGATATTCTGACTATAACCAGATATCAATTGCTCCTGAAGATCAGGAAAAGACCACCTTCACATGTCATTATGGCACCTTTGTGTTTAAACGCATGCCATTTGGACTATGTAATGCACCAGCAATATTCCAAAGATGTATGATGTCTATCTTCTCGGACATAGTTGAGAACACTCTAGAGGTATTTATGGACGATTTCTCTGTAGTAGGTGATACTTTTGATGACTGTTTGTTGAATCTTAGCAGGGCTTTACAGAGATGTGACGCGGCCAACCTAGTACTGAATTGGGAAAAGTGTCATTTCATGGTAAATAAGGGCATAGTCCTAGGACACAAAGTATCATAGAAGGGGATAGAGGTCAATAAGGCCAAGAGTGAGGTGATTGAAAATTTACCTCTGCAAATCTATATGAAGGGTGTTAGAAGCTTTCTAAGCAACACCAAGTTCTATAGGCATTTCATCAAGGACTTCTCCAAAATTGCACACCCCATGTGCAACCTTTTGGAGAAGGAGGTGAAATTTGTCTTTGATGAGGCATGTCTCAAAGCATTTTTGTGCCTAAAGGAAAAGCTGATTTCAACACCAGTGATCATTGGCCCATACTGGTCGAAGCCATTTAAGGTAATGTGTGATGCTAGTGGGACTGCATTAGGAGTTGTGTTGGGGCAGAAGCGCAACAAGATGTTTCATCCGATTTACCATGCTAGTAAGTCATTGAATGGGGCACAACGAAACTACACAGTCATTGAGCAGGAACTATTGGTAGTGGTCTATGCATTTGAAAAGTTATGAGCTTATCTGTTGGGCACTAAGGTGATAATTCATACAAACCATGCTGCCCTGAGATACCACATGGCAAAGTAAGATGCCAAGCCTAGGCTGATCCGATGGGTGCTACTTCTCCAAGAGTTTGACTTTGAAGTGAAGGATAGGAGAGGCTGTGAGAACCAGATAGCTGATCACCTGTCTAGGTTAGAGGCTGCAAAGACGGAAGAGCTTGAGGTTGAAATAGATGATACATTACCGGATGAACAGGTATTAGCTGCAACTCTTGACCTTATTCCTTGGTTTGCTGATTATGTTAATTTTCTTGTTGCCTGAAGGACTAATATTTCAGCAAAGAAAGAGGTGCATGCTTGATGTAGGTAAGTATTTCTGGGACGAACCATATTTGTACAGGATTTGCGCTGACAACATCATTAGGCAGTGCATTCCTGAAGCTGAGATGCTGCACATTTTGGAGGCCTGTCACTCATCTCCAGTAGGTGGTCATCATGGTGGTGCTCGAACAGCCCACAAGATACTTCAGTGTGGGTACTATTGGCCCACAATTCATCAAGATGCAGTGGACATAGTAAGGAGCTGTGATGTGTGCTAGCAGCAAGGAGCCATCTCACAGTGCCATTAGTTACACATGACATCTATTCTGGAAGTGGAATTGTTTGATGTATATGGCATCGATTTCATGGGCCCATTCGTGAGTTCTTATGGGAAGAAGTATATATTGGTTGCAGTGGACTATGTGTCCAAATGGGTTGAGGCCGTTGCTTTGCCTGAGAATGATGGCAAGAGTGTAGCTGGTTTCCTGAAGAAGAATATCTTCTCAAGGTTTGGCACACCCAGAGCTATTATCAATGATGGTGGTTATCACTTCTGCAACAAGGTGTTCAGTGCGCTTCTGACCAAGTACGGGGTTTAACAGCACAACGTTGCTACACTTATCACCCACAGACCAATGGACTAGTAGAGGTGTCCAACAGGGAAATCAAGGCAATCTTGGCAAAGACAGTGAATGTCAATAGGTTAGATTGGGCACGGAAGCTAGATGATGCTCTATGGACATATCGGATAGATTTCAAGACACCTATTGGTATGTCTCCATATCAATTGGTGTTTGGAAAGGCATGTCATTTGCGATTGAGCTTGAGCATAGAGCACTTTTGGTGTTGAAGAAGCTAAACCTCAATTGGAGCGAAACTGCAAACTTGAGGTTGGATCAGATCAATGAGATGGATGAGTTCCGTCTGAGAGCCTATGAGAGGTCGGCACTATATAAGGAGAGGATGAAGCTATATCATGACAAGCATAATGAGAAAAGAAGCTTCACTCCTGGTGACTTGGTTTTACTCTTCAACTCCAGACTTCGTCTGTTTCCAGGCAAGTTCAGACCCAAATGGTCTGAACCTTTTAAGGTCACACAGGTGTTTCAATATGGTGTTATTGAGCTGGAAAATAATAAAGGTGAGAGGTTCAAAGCTAATGGCCAGAGAATCAAGGCATATTTGGGTGTTCTTGAGGATGTGAAGATTGTAGAGGACTGCAAACTTGATGAAGTTTGAGTAATCAAGTAACATGCGTCGCACCGTGACGTTAAATTGTGTGTTTCTTGGGAGGCAACCCAAGATGTAATTGTACTAGGTATTTTTTCCCTTTTTCCTTATTTTCTTTATTTTTATGGAGTCACTATGTGTTGATGTGTGCAGGAGAAAATAGGTAAAAAAATGCAGAAACTGGTGCAGATTGACCTTCACAAACAGTATCACGGACCGTGGTGCCCTTCACGGGCACTTTCACGGTCCGTCAACTTGAGGACCAACCTAAGAAAGCTACTGGAAATTGCACAAAAAAGGTTCACAGAAGGGTTCACGGTCTGTTAGAAATTGTACGGACCGTCTAGCCTCTCGTGAACCTCAGGTACGAATTTCAGATCCAAGTCAACATCAAGGAAAGTTTCATGGACCGTGATGCCCTTCACGGGCAACTTCACGGTCCATCGTCTGCCTCAGTTAAGTTTCTTTGCCAAGTCATTGTCACGAACTGGTTCACGGACTATGATGCCCTTTACGGGTAATTTCACGGACCGTGATGCCTTTCACGAGTAATTTCATGGCCCGTAATCCACTACCCAATAATACCAGTTACCCGACCTGACCCGTGCATAACTCAACTCAAAATTAAAACGTATTTATTTGATTCCAAATGCCAAAGGGTTAGTTTTTCCTCCTATTTTCTCTCCCATAATGGTCCTTTAAAGATTAAAATCAATTCCATCATCAATCGATTCCAAGTTCATCACAGAATCTATGCCCTAATTCCAAATTCCTCAAGAATCGCAATTCTAGGTTGTTGCTCTCTCATTTTTGGGCGAAAAGTGTTTGTTTCTATAGTGCAAGTAAGTTCGTTGTTTAAGTTGCCATAACTAAAATTCCTTGATAGAAGTTAGTCCTAACTACTTTGATTGAAGCGATTTGAGTAGATGTAGGTGTTGGACTGACATATTTATTATTGAACGGTTGTGGGTTAAGTGAATTGTGTGTTTTTGAATTGATGTTTATATGTGGGTATGATAATAGGGAGTTGAATTCGTGATTGTTCTAGTTGGTGAGGATTCGATGTGTTTAGTAAACTAAGTGATGTGTAAATGTGTGTTAATTTTGAATCTGTGCTAGAAATGGTTGTTAGGGCTGTAAGAATCGTATTTTATTATATGAGGGAAGAAGACAATAGAACACTGACCAAGTGTAAGACCACAATAGGTCTTACAGACCGTGGAAGCCACTACGGGCCATAAAATCGATCGTGGACCACACATGGAGTCAACTCATCCCTCAGACTCAGTTCACGGGCAGTCTCACGAACCGTGGTGAACTCCACGGGCCGTGAAGCCTTCCATGAACAACACTTGGTAAGAAGTTTTGTGGCTCATTTTTGCACACTCACTAGCTTAACTCCACGAGGGAGTTCACGAACCGTGGTACTTACCACGGCCCTATAATCTCCCGTAGAGCTTACTTGGTGTATCATTTTTAAATCTTTCTGTCTTTTAGTTTTTGTTCATCTTTTGTTTCTGTGGTCCTTCTCGATGATAGATTGGGTGACGGCATTCTTAAAGCAAGGCATCGCGATGAATTTATATAGGGGAAGTCTGAATACCCGATAGTGCGTCATTTGACTGTGTTGAATACTAATAAATTTTGTATTTTCTCAAGTATAATGGGTCCCAGAAGAAAGAATGCAACAAAACCTTCCCCTCATTGCTTCTCAATCAGAAGGTCATGACGACTCCGAAGCTAGTGGTTCTGAGGTGCAAATAAATGTTACACCTGAAAATCACTCGCCTCGAGCCACTAGATCATTGATCAAAAGAGCTATCCTCCAGGACACTCCTCTTCATTCTGAAAAGGGTGGTGGTAGTTCTGATAACGGGGAGGACTCGGACAGTCAATCTGATGTTGCTGCTGATAGCCAATCTATTGATACCTCAAGGAGCAGTGCAGAGTCTGAAAATAATTCTCAGGACGATACACACACCTCTCCACCTACAGGGAATACAGAAGCTGATACTGGAGCACGAGAGAAAGCGTCTATGATAGAGGATGATGAAGAGATCACCGATGATGATACCATGGTGATGTATGTGGCTGCCCATGAACCTAATCCAGCACTGAGACCATAGTTGATTGCCTGTTATCGTTCCATGTGGACTGTGAACCGGTCCAAAGAATTTTTCAACAATGGGATTGTGACCAAGACTGGCGACTTCAAGAATCGAGCAATCATGCCTGAGACTAGGGTGGTACTAGCTGATATCAAAGCATTCTCGAACATCTATCAGATATTTCAGCTCCATCAGTTCGACTGGATGGACAATGCACCTGGAGAATACTCTAGCCACCTGGCCAGAGAATTTTATTCCTCTTATGCAGCTACATTGATGAATTTTATTACGGATACAAAGACCATGAAACATGGACAGAAAAACATGGCTATTACCTGGGGTCCACTCAACTCAATCATAGTTAGGGGCAAATCAATAGATATTTCTAAGGCTTCGATTAATAGAATATTGTATGGCCCGAAATACTCTGCACCAGCTTCAGTTGACCTTTTCGAAGGCAAACATCATGAGGTCACCAGTGATGCTATGATGGAAGATCATAATTCTCGAGAATGGGTTCTACGCTGGATTGCGAAGCAGATTGCCATAGATGGGGAAAATGCAGTTTGGATCACCACAACTCTAACACTCATCGCTAAAGCTTCGCTGTCTTTTCCAGCCAAGGATTGGTGGGCAGTCGTCCGAGCACAATTGTGACCGACAGCTAATGATAACAATTTGTCACCTTCCCTGGCCTCATTGGTAGCCTGTCTTATGGTTGGTTACCCGGTCAATGCAGGACGGATAATAGCGACCGAGATGAGAGACAGGGCGCTAAATGAGAGAGTCACACTTCTTTTTCCCTGTCTGATATGGAAATTATGTCAAGGAGCGAACATTTCTCCGAACAACCTGGTTAACAGATGGGGTGAGGCATTCAGACTCATCCAAGTTTCTAAAATCAAGGATGTCGCGAACCATATTTTTGGCACGAAGTCTGCCGCTGTGAGTACTTTAGTTGTTGTTCTACATGTCCCAATTGGCATCCCACATACAGATAAAGGTCCAGAACAAAGAGAGTCATCACAGCCTTCCACAGAGGCACCACCACCTCCAGCTTCAGCCTCCCAGGCTCCAGGTACCTTTGTCACTATCCCAATGCTTTTTCTTGATAAATTAGTTGCAGATCAGCGCCAGATTAGGACATTGGTAGACCAGATTATGCTTCAGATGCCTCAGCTGATAGTGACGAAGGTGTTAGCTGCGAAAAAAGAGATCAAAGATGAGGTGCAAAAAGAGATGGTTGTCTTAAAAGACAGATTGGATGGTTTAGAGAACCTTGTCCAAGATCGATTCCAGGCTGTCGGGTAAGTAGTTACTGAAGAGTTCAAATCACAGCTGGCCGAGATGAGAACTCAAATTGCTAAACTGGCTGAAATGTCAGTACAGGTACCTACTCTGATATTTTCTGAATCTTTAATGCAAATGCTAAATCAGGCACCCTCTACTCAATCAATTGATGTTCTTTGGGGAGAACCCCCCACGAGTAAGTCCAACAAAAGAAAACACAAAGCTGGAGAACTTGATGAGCAGACCCTACTGACCCAGCCAGAGAGGCAAGAAGGCAAGAAAAGAGAGCTCGTAGAACATCAAAGAGGGAAGCTCGAGAAAATGAAGCCCTTGAACAGCAACAACGAGATGCAGCCTTAGTTAGATCTTCTGGTAGTGAATCACCTGCTCCACTAGTGAGGACCAAACTATCAGGTCCCGAGTTCTGAGAGTGCACCCATTGATAAGTGCGCCAATGCTGATCCAACAACCGGCGCCTAGAGCGCCGTAGGTATGACCCCTCCTCATAGCCTGTGTGTTTTATTGTTCTGTATCGACTTTGAGGGCAAAGTCCTTTTTATTTGGGGAGGGGTGGTGAGCAACCTACCATAGTTGTTAGAAAAATGGAGGTTGTTTCTGTGTATTACTGTTTTGGGTGTTTTGTGTGTTGAGCTGTGCAGCACCTAATCTGTGAAAATTGAGGACCTGAATCTGAGTTTGACTGTTAGGATCTTTAGATAACATCTTAGATATTGATATGCTGAACATGGCTAGTCTGACCAATTAATTGGTGAACCAAGAAACTAAAAAAAATGCAATCATCTGTAGTGTGTGTAAGTTTTGATTGAAGTCTAACACTAGGAGCAGAAACTAGAACTTGCCTAAGTAGTCTTGCTTGAATCTGAGAATAACTGAATAGGAAAGGTTCAGTAGACCATTTTTGTTAAACTAGTAAAAAGCCAAAAATAAAAGAACCAAATGAAAAGCTTATCACTTGAACCCAATTTGAGCCTTAAATTAGTCTTTGTTCTTACCCAAAATATATCATATCCTTGGTTCTCCGAAGGTACGATATCACAACTCAGGCCAAAAGCCTAAGTTGAGGGTGATTGCAATCCGAACAGAAACAAAAAGGGAAAAACAAGGTTCAACCAGTGAGTTAAGTGCATATCAAAATTGCATATAAAAAAATAGAACTAAAAAAGAAAGAAAAAGAAAATAATAGCTACTGGTCAGGCTGAAATAAAGAAAAAGAGGGAATCACTCAGAAAATAGTATGTGAATACGAACCTTTGGGAAACCAAGGGATTAGTCACTCACGAAACCAAATATACATTCCCTAACCCCGAGCCTATGTTACAAGCCAATAAAGTCCTACAGTGATCCTATTCCGGGTGTTTGAAGATAAAGCGTAGAAAGCAAGGGCAAGCCTATGGTAGTTTGTTGTTAGTGTTAGAAGTTCATTGAGAGCATGAGCGTAGTACCCAATCCCTACCATTATGAGTGAGGGACTTCTTTGGTGCGAGGACACAGTGGTTGCATTTGAAAGTAGATTGTGTGAGCTGATAATTCGCAGGTATAAAGATGATTGATTGTGAGTAATGAGATGTCATGTATTGATCCTTTCATGTT